AGACTCTGTCTCTATCAAAAAAAAAAAAAAAAAAATCAGGGGAAATCATTCCCAACATAGAATTCTACTCTTAGCCAAACTATTTTTTTTTACTAAACACATTTTTTATATAGATTTACAGGGTACAAATGTAATTTTGTTATATGCACAGATTGTGTAGCAGAGAAGTTAGGACTTTTAGGGTAACTGTCATGCAAAAAATGTACATTGTACCAGTTAAGTAATTCTCATCCATTCCTTCACCCTTTCAAGCCTCCACTGTTTATCATTCCACACTTTATGTGCATGTGTACACATTATTTAGCTCCCATGTAATATTTCTCTTTCTGTGTCTGACCTGTTTTATTTAAAATAATCATCTTCAGTTCCATTCATGTTGCTGCAAAAGACATGATTTCATTCCATCTTATGGCTGAATAGTATTCCATAGTGTGCATGTACCATATTTTCTTTACCCAGTGATTCACTGATGGACACTTAGGTGGATTCCATGTCTTTGCTATTGTGAATAGTGTTGCAATAAACTTAAGTGCAAGTATCTTTGTTTTTTTGGGGGGGGTTGGAATCTTCTGTTGTCACCTAGACTGGAGTACAGTGGTACGCTCATGACCACCTCAGTCTTGACCTGATGGACTCAGGCAATCCTTTCACCTCAGCCTTCCAAGTAGCCGGAACTACAGTTGCGCTATCACACCTGACTAAATTTTTGTATTTATTGCAGAGATGAGGTCTCACCAAGTTGCCAAGGCTGGTCTCAAACCCATGGGCTCAGGCAATTCACTTGCCTCGGCCTCCCAAAGTGCTGGGATTACAGCCTGAGTCACTGAGCCCAGCCAGTATGTCTTATTTTGAAAATGTCTATTCAAATCCTTTGCTCGCTTTTTAAGGAGCTTATGTGTGGGGTTTTGTTGTTGTTGTTGTTGTGGTTGAGTTATTTGAGTTCCTCGTGTATACTGATATTAGAGTTTTGTTGGATGAATATTTTCTCCCATTCTGCATTTTATCTGTTCACTCTGTTGATTGTTGATTGTTTTGTTGTGCGGAAGCTTTTTGGTTTAAGTCCCATTTGACTATTTTTGTTTTTGCTGCCTGTGCTTTTGAGATCTTAGTCATGAATTCTTGTCTAGATTAATGTCCAGGAGAGTTTTCTATATGTTTTCTCCTCTTTTTTTGAGTCAGAGTTTCACTTTGTTGCCTGGCTGGAGTGCAGTGGCACGCTCACGGCCACCACAGCCTCGACCTGCTGGACTCAGGTGATCCCTCCTCCTCAGCCTTCCAAGTAGCTGAAACCACAGGCGTGTGCCACCACACCCAGCTAATTTGTTGATTTTTATTGTAGAGATGAGGTCTTGCCAAGTTGCCCAGGCTGATCTCGAACCCATGGACTCAGGCAATTCTCTCACCTCCACTTCCCAAAATGCTGGGATTATGGGTGTGAGCCACTGTGCCCAGCTAGATTTTCTTCTAGTATTTGTATAGTTTCAGGTTTTATATTTAAATTTACCATTTTGAGTTGATTTTTGTATATGGTGAGAGATAGGGGTCCAGCTTCATTCTTCTGCATATGATAATCCAATTTTCCCAGTGCCATCTATTAAAAAGACTGTTCTTTCCCCATGTTCTTGTCGACTTTGTCAAAGATCAGTTGACTAAAATATGTGGCTTTATTTCTGGTTTCTGTATTCTGTTCCATTGAACTATGTGTCTATATTTATGAGAGTGTCATACTGTTTTGGTTACTATTGCCTTGTAGAATAATTTGAAGTCAGGTAATGTGATGCCTCCAGCTTTGTTCTTTTTGCTTAGGATTGCTTTGGCTATTTGGGCCCTTTTCGTATCCATATAAACTCTGAAATTGCTTTTTCTAATTGTGTGAAAAATATTTTGATGGAGATTGAATTAGATGTATAGATTGCTTTGGGCAGTATGGTCATTTTAATGTTTTAATTTTTTTCCAATCCACAAGCATGGGATGGCTTTCCATTTGTTTGTGTCATAAATTTCTTTCATCTGTGGTTTGTAGTTTTCCTTGTAGAGTTCTTTCACTTTCTTGTTTAAGTATTTTCCTAAAGTTTTGTTGTTGTTGTAGTTATTGTAAATAGGATTGTCTTCTTGATTTTGTTTTCAGTTAGGTTGTTATTGGTTTATAGAAGTGCTGCTAATTTGTGAGCTTTGATTTTGTATCTTGAACCTTTACTAAATTCCTTGATCAAGTCTAAGAGTTTTGGGGGAGTTTTCAGGTTTTTCTAGATATAAGATTATATCATCAGCAAACATGGATAATTAGACTTCCTCTTTTCCAGTTTAGATTTCTTGCTTGATTGCTCTGGCTAGGACTTCCAGTACTATGTTGAATGAAACTATGACTTAATTGTGAGTAAAGAATAAAAACTATTTGAGATACAAATTCTCAAAATAGCAATATTCCATGCATTGCTTTTCGGAAAGAGATAGGAATGATCATGCCAAGATAAATCAGTAAGTCCAACAAGAGAAATGAATAGAACCAAAGAAATGGGATGCAGCACAAAAAAAGCGACAAGAGGAATTCCCAAGGCAATTGTGAAGGGAGACACAAAGTTGCACAGCAGGACTAGAGATTAACTCATCAAAATTAGAGCAATTCAGAATGGTTTGAGAGTGATTTCTTCAAGAAATAAGTAGAATGCCTACTGCATTTGAACTTAGGGAGGAGAGATTTGAATGAGAAGAGTTTGGGGGTATGTAAGTAATAAGTAGATAGAAAACTAAGAGGGAAGACAGTTAATTATTAATTCTTCTTTTTTTTTTTTTTAAGTTGGAGTCTCACTCTTGTCGCCCAGGCTGGAGTGCAGTGACACATTCACAGCCACCACAACCTCAACCTACTGGGCTCAGACGATCCTTCCGCCTTAACCTTCCAAGTAGCTGGAACTACAGACGCTTGTCACCACGCCTGGCTAGTCTTTGTTTTATTGTAGAGATCAGGTCTCACCAAGTTACCCAGGCTGCTCTCTCGCCTGGGCTTCCCGAAGTGCTGGGATTACAGGTTGAGCCACCACGCCTGGCCTAATTATTAATTCTAATGGAAATATAAAGTGCTGGAAAAGCTAAACAGATTTCTGTTTTCTTCAATATGGTGAATTATGTATTCAATTGATGCTCCCACTATAAACTAAAAAATGCTGGAGAAAATGAAATTGTCTTCTTAAAAGCATAGTAAGATCAACAAGACAGTAAAGAATTAACAGACCAAAATCTAAATGAGGTCAGAAACTTAGAGAGGTATTCAAAACAGTCACATTTACATGAAGGGCATTCTC